AGCCAGCCCAAAACATATCAATGCTACCCATTTCAGTCTAACCCCAAGTTTGAAGTGTCAGGGTTCTCACACTCATATTTAGAAATGGAAGCTTGGTCAGAGTGGCACTGTCTTGATCGGCTGTAATCCCTGCAACCTCCTCTGTTCTGTCTGCCAGACCTCCAGTCCAGCACTGCTGCCAGCCTCTGCCGTGGGCCGCAAACGCTTTCATCTTCCCACATATACACCGCACCAGGCAGACGAGGATGCATGCCAACACACAACACACACACACACATTTACACAGCCAGAGTGTGTGAGAAAACACGTAATAGACACAGACAAACAATTAAAACACGACCTCACAAGCAGAGCAAGTCACCACATTATCTACTCTTTTCCTCGTCGCAGTTTTTCCATTCTCCTTTCCCTGGTCTCGCACTCGAACGACACTCTTTCACTCAAAGTTATCACATATTCAGAGCGTGCGTGGCTCCCTGAGGAACAATGTGCATGCCACAGAGGAGGGATGTGTTCGCCGTGGTGCAACATTGTTTTGAAAGCGGTGCTGCGTGCACTGGAGTCCTCCTCTCCATTGGTCTTGGCTGGAGGAGCAAAGAAGGAAGGCTCGGAGCTGAAACAGGGGAGCCTTGAAAACATCTGGCTGCCCACAGTTGACTGGCTCAGCCACCAGAAGCTCCTCTCTTCTCCTCTCCTCTCCTCTCCTCTCCTCCTGTTTCACCCTCCTCTTGCTCCATTCTGGTGGGATCTCTACAGAGACATCGCAGCTTTTAATTACAGCTGATGAATTCAGAGAGATGGGCTGTGGCTTCTGAACCCACTCATGTCCATGAAGCGTGGCCCAGTGTGCAGACATGCAGACACAACAAAGCAACAAGTAATAGAGGCCTTCTGGCCCTTGGCTGTGGTGTACACTGTGAGTGTGAGACTAACAGTGACAAATACGAGGGGGGGGGGCATGCAGACGAAAAACATTATAGCCATCTATAGTGGTAAGTAGAGGCCAGGGCCAACTTACCAAGCGCTGTAGAGCACTGCACTCCATCAACTACCAAAGAGCAAAACGCTAAGGTGATGCACAGATGAGCAATGGCATCTTAAAGGAGCAAGTACATACAACAAATTGTGATGTCACCAGGTTTTTAAACCAGCCTGTCTGAGGCTATCTATAGCTAGAAGATAAGGCCGCAGAAATCAGGGTATTTATACATTTCTGAATAACAATTAAACTTGCCCCAAGTGGGCAAAGAAATATATTATTTTCTTGCACCTAACGTAAACACAGCACTGATATATATATATATATATAGGCTTTTGCATATGTTGAGCAAATATTTACCTAATTACACATTCAAGCTGACATGGAGAGGAATCACTGGCGGTCGAGCGATAATTCTCTTGTAGCGTTCGTCAAATGACACACCTTTTCACCTTAAACATTGTCATTTGACCCATCGACCAATAGATAGAGAATGACTCAAGCAGCTAAAGTTATAAAAGCCAATGATTACATATGTTTCTTTAAAAAAACCATTCACACTTCTGACCACCACCTATCACCTTTAAACCCCAAGTTCAGGTTCACACATTCACCATATTTTCATGGATGTGTAAATGTTAACTCGTATTAAAACCAGAAGAAATCGTCTCAGAATCCTGTAAGCGGAGTAATGTCTTTTTGAGATTCCCATCAGTGTTGTCTGTACAGACTATGCTGCTATGAAACATGATATTACTGTCATTGTTAAAACAGTTTTAGGTAAAATTTGGATAACTGTTTTCTTATATGTGCAGCCAAATGTGTTGAACATATAGACCAGTGTGTTGTTTTAATGTGAAATTTGAAAATGTAAAATAGTGAAATACTGTATTGTCATGTAATTGGTAAATTATCCATGACACAAATGGGACCTTTTTCTTAATTGGGGAAGCTCAATTTGACAACTTTTACCCATGTCTGTAAGCTTGTTTTCAGTTACTGATGTTTGCATTTAAATTCCTCTACATCATTTTCCGATTGCATTTTTAAGATTTTTTGAGTCTTGTGTCATCAGAGAGAAACATCCCTTTCTGGTTGCCTTTTCACGGCACATAACATAAATAGATCTCCAAGGACAATCTCAAAGACATTTATTAAGTGGTTGCGTGTCAGTCTTCTAAACTCAACCCATTCCAGGAATCTTCCCTCTCTTTTT